TCTCGCTTACAGACCACTGGCATTTTGTTGGTGCGGTAACTACAAATTGGGATTCTAAAGCAGCACCCAAAGTGACCACCTAAACCACAAGTGGTCCCTCACCTGAAAGGCTACCCTTAAAGTTCCAAGTTTGGGGCGACACGCAAATGACGCTGAAGTTTTGAAAGCTGATTATTAGTTAGATGTCCTTTGCAAGCTAATAAAATGTTGCAAGGTTGTGTTTATGATTTTTCTTAACTCTCTCCTTAGGAAAGTTTTCACCCTCTCTTTTATACAAAGTTAAGTCTTATATGTGGAATGACTGGTGGTCTTTTAAATGGCCATCGCTCCGAGATCCCCATATCCTTCATGTTATCTCTCTACAAATTGGGATTCTAAAGCAGCACCCAAAGCGACCACCAAAACCACAAGTGGTTCCTCACCTGAAATGCCACCCACAAAGTTCCAAGTTTGGGGCGACATGCAAATAAGGCCGAAGTTTTGAAGGCTGATTATTAGTTAGATGTCCTTTGCCAGCCAATAAAATGTTGCAAGGTTGTGTTTATGATTTTTCTTAACTCTCTCCTTAGGAAAGTTTTCACCCTCTCTTTTATACAAAGTTAAGTCTTATATGTGGAATGACTGGTGGTCTTTTAAATGGCCATCGCTTCGAGATCCCCATATCCTTCGTGTTATCTCTCTTCACATAGATGTTCTCAGAAAAGTTCATTAGCTCTAATAATATGACTGTTTCTTTCTTACCTAGGTTTCTTCACATTATGGATGATGTAGGACCAAGGGCCGTTGGCTCCTACATGAGTGGGACATGCGAAGTGGGCTTAGGAAGTAAGGTTAAAGGGTTGGATTAGGAGTTCTCATTATGTTGGGATTTAGGAGCTCTAAAAGGTGTAGGTTTCCTAAAAAGCTTAGGACAGCAGGGTGTTGAGGTATTGAGGTCTCCTAGATTGAACATGACTGGGGGTTTCAATGTCTAATTAGGTAGGGTTAAAGGTAAGGTGATAGGGAAGGATTAGGTGCAATCATCGCAGCAACTAATGTTAGGTTAGAAGGTGTTAAGGGGGTTGAAAAGTTGCTAGAAAATTGCAGGTCCGGCAACTGTGATTGAAAAATTTGAAGGGAATTGGGCGAGATTAGAGCCAATTTGGGGTGGGAAGCTTATGGTAGGTGATGAGTTTTTGAATTAAAACTTACAAAGAGGTGATTTGATGAGGGATGAATAGGGTAAGGAATTTGGTTATGGGGAATTTTGGATGGGGATGTGCTACACAAGAAGGAAAGAAGAAAGCTCTAACTTGCTGTGGAGATTCTCCCAATCTTATGCTAGAGTTGTAGAATAAATTTCTCGCGAAAAGAGCTAAGGTGCCTCTCCTTGACGTGAATGAACCATTCCCCCTAAGATGGTCTCGTGCCACCAAAAGAACGAACTCAAATTTTTGTTCATAACTTCTACTGAATGGCCTATGGCTTGGTACATCCATAGTTTCAAAAAGCGCTAGGCGGGCGCCCAGCACCTGGGCGGCCCAGTCGAATCCAAAAAGGATGTCTAGTCAAAGATCCTTCTAAGTACTCAAAATGTTCTAAAAAACCCTCCAATAGATTTATAAAATGTCAAAAATTAAATGTAATATCAATGGGTGATGTTTTGATCAATTTTTATCAACTTTGAAAAAAACAATTTCCGCCAATGGGTGGGGCGGCTGCCTAGGCGGGGCTTGGGCTTGGGCTGGGTGCTGCCTAGGCGGGGCGCAGGCCTTGGGCTTGGTGCTGCCTAGGAGGGGCGCAGGCCTTGGGCTGGGTGCTGGGCGCCCGCCTAGGCAGTTTCCGTACCGCCCAAGGATTGCTGCCCAGATTGGCCGCTTAGGCCTGAGTGATACGCTCAGGCCTTCTGGACCGCCTAGGCGCTAGGCGGTCCGCTTTTTCAATCACTGGTACACCTATTTCTAGGATTGTAGCCCCTGCAATCTTACTTGGGGTAGATTCCAAGTAATCTTTAGACTTCCTAAACATTCAAAATTTTCTAAATTAGGAAAGGCGATCCTTCATAAATTAGGGAACTATTCCCTTTACAAATTATGGAAGGTACCATCTTTTAGAACTCTTCTAACGAAAGAGGAAACTACGGATCTTTGAGAACTTTTCCGAAAAATAGGAAACTTCTTGAAATCCTAAATTGGAAAGAAGAAACTTACCACAAAAATCAGAAGGACTTATACATTCCTATCTAAATTAAGCCTTAACCTAAATAGCTAATCAACTTCGTTCTGTAATTAAATATTTCACGTTACTTCAGACCACAGTTTGGGGCTCAAGATGTCTGAATTAGGAAAACTGCATAGAGTTAAGGGTGGCAGATCTCAAAGAAATCATTCATTCTTGCTTTGTACCACTGCAAATGGAGACTCAGGGGAAAGTTTATACCCTATTGAAGTGGTCGCATCAACTGATATAGCAAATACCATCCTTCTGAAAATAGCCTGCCTCCCTTTGATTACATTCCTTGGCACCAATGCCTATCTATGAAAGTGTCTAATTGAACATTGCCAGACCATTTGTCAATCTCAACCTGGCATATCTCACTATCTCTGATTCTCATGTGCATCCCTTTTTGAAAGGACTCATTGGTGTGTATAAAAGCTTTCTAGGCATTTGCATTTATCCTTGTTGAACCACGCTGCATACCTTTCCTGAAAATATTTTAGCCATTTATTTATATAATTTGGTCATGATTTCAGCAAAATTTTGTGTGGTACTAATGTTAGGAGACAGAGGCTTTCAAAATTTTAAAGATTTTAAAATTAGTAGGACTAAGACGTAATATATGAAATGCAAATTTAGTAATAATTAGGAGTAGAAATGAGGACGTAATTAAGATTGATGGCCTATAAATAACTAACACAGATTATTTTCGATTTCTTGGGTCAATAATCCATGAGAATGGAGAGATTGATGAAGATGCTGCGCATAGAATTAGAATTGGGTGGGTGAAGTGGAGGTGTGCATCCAGAGATTCATGTGATCGCCGCATATACCAATGAAACTGAAGGGGAAGTTCTATAGGACAGCTGTCAGACTAGCCATGTTTTATGGGACAGGATTTTAGGTATGCAAGAAACAACATACCCATAAGATGAGTGTAGTTGAGATGAGGATGTTGAGATAAATGAGTGACTAGACAAGAAAGGATAGAATTTGGAATGAATACATTCAGGGGAGTGTAGGTGTGGCTTCAATAGGCTATAAGAAGGGCAAAAGGAAGACCCAAAAGGACATAGATGGAAGTACCGAAGTAATGAGAAAAGAAATGATAACTTATGGCCTTATTGAGGGTATGGCCCCTTGATAGAGCAGAATAACAGAACATGAGCTGACTCCAAAGACTTGGGATAAGGCTCGGATGACGATGATGATGAAGTTTTTTCAAATGTTTGCTTCTTCTCTCTCATGCATTCTTTGAGGCTCAAGTTTTCTTTCTATTACGAAGCCTTCCATGTCTAATCACTTCAGTTCAGGCTTATTGGATTTTCTTGTACCTTGACATTAGAGCTTCTTATAATGAACTGTCTTTAGATAGTTGAAACAATAAATTGTAAACATGGAAATTTCTTGTCTCGGTCCTTTTAATCCTGCTTAAGTTAATTATTAGCTTGAAGTTTATGATTTATCCTCGGGAAGGTAGCATAGTGATCTCCCATGCATGCTATGGACTGAAATTTGGAGAATTAGGTTAACCTATCTGTGCAATCCTCTGCAAAGGAATTTCATTTTCAAAGATTTTCCAGTCAAAATTGAGGGTTTATTTACAATTCCAACTTAGGTAAAATGGTACTATAATGAAAAATTAAAATGGGAATTAAGAATACATTTATTTTTTATCTGTGTAAGATCATTTCTAATTCAAGGTTCTACTTTTTGGACTGAAGTCATGATTGTGGATCAATTCTGCTGTGATATCTATAATCGTAGGCTTAATAAAATGCCAGAAGAGTGGATTTGGATTTGTTTGTGGTCTTTTCGTAGGTATATCTCATGCAAAGATCCATACTAGGTTCTTTACAATGTATTCAGGTTTTAAAATAAGGTCATTTCTAGATATGATCTCTTTATGCATCTTAAGAAGCATCTGGTAGAGTTGGCAAGCTCTAGTTTAAGTCCTAATCATTTCATGATAAAAGAAATAGCTATGTGGAATTCCCGAGAGTAAACTCAAGTTTTTTCCTTTTTTCGTTTATTAATTATCCGAATTCCACTTACAAGTGCCATAAAACAATCTTGTAAACCCACTGCCCAATTACCTATGATGCATTCTAATCCTAGTGGTTCTGCTGAATTCTCTGATAAGGAAGCTTTTTCAGCACTAGGTTTGATAGCATAAAACAAATTAGGTTTTCTTAGACCCATTTTGGACATTTTTAGAGCACGTACAAGTGGCACCTCCCTTGGGCCCCCACGCATACAGGCCCACATCCCCATACAGGAGACCACGAGGTTCTCTCGGCCTACAAACATTCATGGGTATCTCTTCTACCTCAACAAGGGATAACTCTCTAAAAATCCGCTAAAACCCTCTATGGTAGTGTCATATGTCTAGGGGAAAAGGTTTTAGACATGACCAGGCCATAGACTGCCTAATCCTATACCAATTAACCAACACGTCCTCCCACTGAAGTGTATAATCCACTATATTCTATTATTTACATGCTCCCATAAGCTTTAAAGGCCACAAAACCCCAACACATAATAGCTGGAAAGTGGATCAAAATGATTAAGATATCTTTCTATCTTTTGTTACATTTGATGCTTCCCTGCATGATGGAATTTGTTAGGTATTAATAACCATAAGCATTATGTTCTAATTTATATTTGTTATCTTTGTAAAAATGTATTCAGGAATTAAATTTCTTGCACTTGCTATTTCTTTTCTTCTTATGATTTGCATCACACCTAAATTTTTCTTCTTAAAAATAAATAACTGTGTCATACACTTTGGCTCACTTTGGCAGGTAACGAAGGTGATGGCTAGAATGGCTTCAGCTGATATCATGTGTGTTGGATCAAAGTCTGTTAGAGAAAAATTTACCGGAATGATCAGGTAAGTTATGGTGTAGTATGGCAACATTTGTTTCATGCATACCCACTATTTCATGTGTTAAGTCCTATTCTATGGCGTGCTTAGTGAAACTCCAACCTTATCTCAGTATTATTTGCATCTTCGTTGTTTAATGATCGTTGAGTATGCCTTCATAGCTTGCTAAAGAAGTTTAGTATTTTATTTATGATTGCAGTTCTGGCTGGATAGGGTTTATCATTAGTTTGTTGTCATCTTGGAAAATCTGAACTTTGAAGAATGTTAGGATATTTAGGATACCAAGTAAGAAATTATTTTGGGGAAATAAGCATCCTTTTGGGGTTTGCCATTTATATTTTTTATTTGATTGATGGTTTGGTGTTCATTACTTCATTGGATACACATGTAAGCATGTTAAATTCAATCGATGTTATCCACTCGGACTCAGATGAGCAACTCGGTCTATGGGCGAGGCCAAGTTACCCCAAGTTGTGTACACACCTTAGGGTATATGAAAAAATTCCAAAGTAAAAAATATGGGATTGTTCTGTAATTTTATTTTTTATTTTTATGAAAAATATGATTTGGATGTTTTTGTTAGAGATTGGTGAGTGTTTTTGCCACAATCCCTATTTTTATATTTTGAATTTTTCAAATTTTTCTGTACTTTTTAAAGCTTATTTGGACGCTTTTGGTTTTATTTTACCTTTATCACCTTTATTTTATTTTATTTTTATATTTATCTAGGGTTTTTTGGCCCTTTGCAAGACTCGACCAACTCCACTCGGAGCATTTATATGCGAAGTTACAGACTCAATACATTTAGATGTATATATCTTTCTGACGCAAAATTCCTGCTTCCCAAAAAACTAGGGCATCATTTGAGGCTAGCTATATTTCTCAAATACTTTTGTCTACAAATATGTGTCCTTACCTTGAGAACTTGATCTTGATTAGCCTCCTTTGGCGCTTGCATGGGGTGATCATAGCCATAGACCAGAACTCACCTGGTTTTCGCTTCCAATTTAGATCACTTTTACAATCTAGATCACCGGCTTCTTATATATTGTGTCAGTTCTAGGTGGTTTCAAGTCCAAAGCCATGATATTATTATTCCTTTGTGTAACCCTAATTACTTCTTCCGACTTCTCAGCTGGCCTCCAATCATGTTGGGTTGTCTACCCATGATGGGAGAGGATTGTGATGATGATTACGGCTTCATATGCCTAGTCGACATAGCTTTGTATTCTTTTGATGGCTCATTTGTTTCAGGGACCTTTGTGACAAACTGTGCATAGTTAGTTACAGAATTCGATATGAAGTGTGGGTGTGAAAGGGAAGAGCACAGTCAAAGAGGAGCAGGTGGGTTTTGTGGAGAAGACAACTCAAGTCATTCTCATTCCCAAGAAAGGTATTTATATAGTTCGCATTTGGAAGGCTGAATGTTTTCAATAAGCATGGGAGTAATTTATGAATGGGGAAAAACAATTTTTTTTTTCCTTTTATTTTTGTACTAGGTTAGGGGCATTTTGATGGTGTTTTGTTGATAAGCAGGTTACAAAATTCTGTATCCCTAGAATAGTGGAGTGGACCACGCTGAGCCATTTTTCACTCCTAAATTGGAGGGAAAAATAATGTTTCCCAAAATTTGATTAGTCCAAATGGGCCATAGCCCATAGGGTACAATTGGGCATGTTATTGGCCAGTTATGAGCCCCCCTTATCAATAGAAAATAGTAGTTCTAGCCCAAACTAGGTACCAGGAACCTAGGCATGTTCGTAATTGCCCTCACAAATGCAAAAAGCTAATGTGTCTTTAATCAATAATTAAATTCCTGATTCACCCTGTTTTACAACAATAGAAATATTGCAACACTCCCATCCTCTCCCCCCCCATATCTGATGTGGGCATGTGCAGAGCATCAGTTAATCCACCAGTTAGGCACAACATTGGTGGGTCATGGTCTTTGTGAAGAAGTATTTTGTTAGACTCTCAATTCCCCTTGATCATACTCTGTTGTTAGGTTACTTCGTCACACATCTGTTTTATAGCCCTCCATGCTGATCCTTCTTGGTCCTTTACCCAGGCCGTTTAACTTTCATGGTGGCATCGAGCTATGCAACAGGACCTTGCAAGTCTGATTCTAATAACACTTGTAGTTCAGTTTCTTTGCTTATTGGGAAGCAATCCATTGGCTGCAAATGAACTTATAGGGTCAAGCAAATTTTGCTGGTACACTTGAATGAAACAGGCCCATCTATTGCCTCAGTGTGCATGGGGTTGACTATGACAAAACAATTGCCCCTGTGGCAAAGTTGTTTATGGTTCGTACCTTGCTGGCTCTCATTACTGCACAAGAGTGGACAATGAGGCAGATTTTGTTAAAGAGTGCTTTTCGGAATGCTGATTTATTGAAAGCTGTATGCAGGAGGCTATCACAGGGCTACTCTTCTCGTGTTTTCAACTTTGGCATGAAAACTTTGTGAGGTACTTTATGGTCTTCGGCAGGCACCTTGGGCATGGTTCGATATGCTTTGCTTCATGGTGGTAGTGACACATGGTGGTTTGCATCATGGTTATTCATATGAAACTCTAAGCATGATATTTGCATGCTTCTTGTGTAGTGATGGTATCTTAGTTTCAGGCATCGATATCCATGGAACTAACACAGCGCAACTTTAGGGCTAATTTAAATGGAGGATGGTAGTTTTCTACTTTCTTTGTCTTGAGATCTTTGGGAGCGCTCAGGTTCTAGACTCACAACTCACCTGCTTTACCTGCCTTCTTGAACAGAAGAGCATAGATACCATGGAGTTGATTTATGAAACAATTTTGCCACAATGATGACCCTATTCCTGATGCTACCACCTATCATCAACTTGTGGGCTCCCTTGTGTACCTTACCACAAATGACCTGACATTGCACATTTCTACACATTGCCAGTCAGTTCATGTCTATTCCGCGCCATCCACATATTGCTGTCCTTCAGTGGGTTGTCTCTTGCATTTCTGAGGCAATTTGTCAGGGATGATCATAAATTTATGACTTGCTGCTACATATTTCTCGGCTTGTCTCTCATCTCCAAGAAAGCAAGAAACATGTTGGTGGCTTCTAGCAAAAAATTTTCTCACCTTTTCTAGTACTTTACTTTGTAGATAAACACACGTGTTCCTGAGTGGGTGTTTTTGTTTCTTTCTTTGTTGATAAGCATTGATAGATATACATGTATGCTCCTTCCTTTCATTTGTTGCTTATGGTTATGCTTGGGTTTTGTTCATGAGATGACTTTTATTGAACTTGGGGATTATTTTGTTAGAGGTACTTGAGAAGGCTAAAGCCCAAATTAGTACTTTTACGGATCTTTATCAAAGACTTGCGGAGATTCTACGTAAATGCACTGGCCAATATTATAGGTAATTGTTGATATTGGTTTCCATTGCTCTTATCTTTCTCTGTGTAGTTCTTAGGTTATCTTTTGGTTCTTTTGTTGGGCAGAAGATATGTAATGCAAAAAAAGCTCAGGGTTCCATGTTCAGTCATGGTTAAAAAAGGTGGCTTTGAATGACTTCTTATTTGAAACAATCGACGTAGAGAACTATGATACCGTCAAGCATTCAAGATACCATACACCATCAGGCATTCAAGACCCACCCACCAGAGCATTCAAGGCCCACCCACCATCACCAGTCACCACCTTACTACACGTGTAGGGAGATGAATACAATACTACTCCCATTGACCTTCACATAGATACAGTAGTCCTCTCGGTTAAGTACAAAATGACCTTTTGACAATGTCTCTTGAAACTTGTGCACCACCACCTTGAGGCTTTCTTAAAGCCATAAAGGGATTTCGAAAATTTATACACTAGGTTTTGCTTTCCCTTCTCTTTGAAGCCTTCTGGCTTTTAAATGTAAATTTCTTCTTCTTACTCCTTATTTAGAAATGCATTCTTAACATCAAGTTGGTGGAGTTCAAAGTCGAAATGGTCTGGAGAGAAGGTTTCATCATAATCTATTTATTCTTTCTGACCAAACCACTTGGCTAGTAATCTAGCTTTATAATTCTCTAATTTCCCTTCCAAGTTCAGTTGCGTTTTAAAGATCCATTCGCAACCTATGGGTTTTCTATCAGGAGGTAGGTTCATTGAGTCCCAACTTGGTTATGTTTGAATGAGTTAATTCATCAATCATGGCTTCTCCCCATTGTGTGTTCTTTTGGACAGGTAATAGCCTCTTGGTAGGAACAAGGTTCATGTAAGGATTCTTCTTCAGCTCTCTCATAATATTCTCTTTCAGAAGGTGAAGAATTCATGTCTTCACCAAATTCTGTTACTTCTCCTAGGATGAGGTGGTTTGGGATCCTGGGCTTGTGTCGCGTCACTCATTATCTCATAGAAATCAGCTTGTTTGTCAGTGGCTCATCCTTCAAGGAACTCATCCTCAAGGAAATGGGTATCCTTACTTTCTAAGACAACACGTGTCAGGATTGTAAAACTGGTATCCCTTACCATGTGGTGGGTATCTTATGAAGATGCACTTAATGGTCTGGTGTTCTGATTTTGTCCTATTCTTATGGGTTATTAGGACTTGAGCAGAGCATCCTCATTTTTTTAGGTGGTCAAGGGACAGAGCACGACTTGTGAAAGTCTCATGAGGAGTTGGTAAGACAACCTTTATGGGAGTCTAATGAAGAATGTAAGCAGCTGTCGAAACTGCCTCAGTTTAGAAATCTAGGAATAGAATAGCAATACCATCATGCTTCTCACCATTTCTACCAAGGTCTTATTGCGTCTCTCGTGTACCCCATTTTGTTAGGGAGTGTAGTGTATAATATATTGGTGTATGATACCATGCTAGGTAGAGAATTCTTTAAATAGCAATAATGAATATTCTTCACCTCTATTCTACAGACAAAAATCCAACTGCTCAAAGTCTCGCTTAAGTCCTGGAGTAGGTCTATACCTAGTAATTTCCCTCATATTAAAACCTCTTAGCTCAACACCATTCAATCTCTTGACCGC